TCAACAAGAATATAAAAAGCTTATTGTCAGTTGTATTGTATGTTAGAATATTCGTTAAAGTATCTGTTAAATGAACAGTGAATCATCGTTCTAGGATGTTATCGTTCTTTTCCATTTTTTATCGCACTTATATTCTATAGTCGAATTAAAATCAAATATCAAGCCTCTAACATTAAGATTAATTTTTAAGATATTATTGTGGTGCCATTAGCTATTTTACTTAGATTATAGTTGAATGTAATGTGTCGTCATGTGATGAGGATTGGTTGAAATATATTTAATCTTATTTAACAGATGCTTACATTAATAAGAAATAAACAAATAAAAGAACGTTAACAAAAACAATTGTTTTTCTCTATGCTAAAGTTATTTATATCTTGATTTTTATAGATGAACTTCAGTCAACCATTTAAATGGGAAATTAATGATGTGTCCGCTTGGTTGCGGACATTTATATCCAATGATGAAGTAATTAATATATTTAAGAGTGAGTTCTCCAATGTACATAATAGTTTCTTTTTTCACCTTCTTCTTTATCGATTTCTACATCGCTGAGTTTATTTTATTATTCTGTTTTATATTGCATGATATATAGATAATTTTTCTCTTTATTGTAAGATTGAATAATTTAACTAATTTACTATGTCCACTGACATTTTTTTGTGCAACATTTGTAAAACAGATCGATCATTTAACAAGTTTCCAGAATATTTTCGACATATAACATTATATCATGCCAATGAACCTAATTTTAAATTAACATGTAATTTATCAGACTCGTGTGGTGTTATGTATAAAACGTTTACAGCATATAAAACGCACGTTCATCGATATCATAAAGCATTACTCAATTCGTCATTTGAACAACGCGGAAACAATGACACAGATGATATTAATCAATTATCTTTTTTGCAACCTGAGACAACAGCTGACTGTTCAACCATATATGACAATAATGAAGACAACATTATATACACTGATTTAATGGATGATAATCCAGATGATAAATGGAATATTTTTAAAACAAATAATTCTTTTGATGATGGAAAAATAAATCTTAACACGGTTCATCAACAATACACACGATTTTTACTTGAAATGAGAGAAGAACACATTTTGCCTCAAACAGTAATTCAATCAATTACAACACATATAGTCAATTTATTCGATATTATCATAGAGCTTGTGGAAGAACAAGCAAAACAAGAAAATTTAGCTGAACAACAACCAACAGCAGCAAGTATTTCGATTGATGGTTTACGTAAAACCATAAAGAAAATTGAACAAGCAATTACTCTTTCAACACGAAACGAATATCAATTTCTTCAGTCATGCAAAAAGTTTTTTGATTATTCACCTCCAGTAGAAAATATTCTTTCATCAAATCAATCAAAAAATGAACAATCGTATTATATACCTATTAAACATTCATTAAAAAAAATTTTACAAAAAGATGAAATGATTCCACTTTTAGTTGAAAATATTCGAAGTCAAGCTGCGCTAAATCATAGTGATCGTGATTTGATGTTCTCATTTAGAGATGGGATTAAAGGTGAAAAAATCAATAAACAATCGTTTTTGATTCAATTATATGTTGACGGTATTGGGGTTACCAACCCTTTGGGATCTAAAAAAGATCAACACAAATTAACACTAGTATACTTTGCATTGGAAGATATACCAGATATATTCCGATCTACATTGCAGTGTATTAATCTTGCATCTATTTGTTATACTAGATATTTAAATAATAATGAAAAACTAAAGAAATTTTATGAACCAATTGTTCAAGACTTAAATGATCTACAAAATACTGGTTTAGTTATTAACACATTCAATAGTCAAATCTTGTTCACATTTACAACAATTGCTGCTGATAATCTTGCAGCTCATGAAGTTGC